CAGTAAGCCCATGGAGTTCTCAGTGAGTCAGTAACTGCACAGGGCCAGGGCTCCTGCTTAGAATGCTTGAGAGGGCAATTGTCCCCTCTTGCACTGAGATTTTGGGGATTAAAGCCAAGAAGGGCTAAGCTATCTCTTTCCCTTTCTACTTCCTGAGTCCCATGCTGTCTGCTTTTGCCTGACCCCCCATATCTTCAAAGTCTTTGTTTTGTTCAGTGATTGTTCATGGGACACCCAGTGTGTGCATGTGGGAGATATTCCAGGCACTGGAGAAATGACTGTTTATAGAAGAGACAAAGCCCTGCTCTCAGACTCATCTGAGGAAATAAAAGGGACCTACAAGTCAATAAATAGTTGGATGTTCCAACTGTAGATAGTTCTGAGTGTAATGAGAGCATTCATTGAGAGGACAGGTAGATGAGGCTGAGATACTTTAGTTCTGGAAGGGCTCTGAGAATGCTTAGTCAAGGACATTTTCATTTCTGTCCTGCCTGGCATTTACCATGAATCTAAAAGTTTAGTACAAGATGGTGAAAAGATTGTGCTTAAAGCTTAATGATTTCGCTGTAAGGACCCCAGACTCTGCCCATAGCCCACCTTTCCCAACAACATTGGCAATAGGTATCTTTGCACCTTGGCCAACAAATGGATGTTTCAGGCAAATGTTTTGTGGTAATAAGTGTGCTGAGCAGTCAACAGAAACATTTCTGCAGGAGCCTCTCTAGGTGGTCTGTGGGGAATTCTGCATTTGTGCAATGACATGAGGAGTTCGCATCTGCCCTTATTACTATTTACAATTGGTGGAAATTTAAAAATGCTGACACCAAAGTACATCTCATAATCTTAATATAATTGAGACAAAGTGAAAACCCTTCAACATGTTAAGTCATGGGTCTCCTTGACTCGGGCTTCCTCACTCAACTGTATGGGCAAAGGACACACAGGAGTGTTTATAGATGATGTCCTAAGATGGCTGTTACCACATCATAGGATTTTAAATTTGCTGGAGATAATGATACCCTTATAAGCTTTGAGTTTATTCCTTGAATTTTTATACTTTTGACTGTTAAACATAACTTTAGGAATATATCACTTATAAAAGCAAGACTATCTACTAAATTCTATCTTATTCCACAATAAGTTAAATATCACTACTGTTACTGCAGGTATAGCATGTAGAATATTTATTTTTTTCTTTTACATATTATATTTATATATTGTCACATATATAATGAGAATACTGTATGTATGTGTAGGAACTCTGTGTGTGTACATTGTATACATTATGTGTATATATATTATATATGCATATGCATGTGCGTATACATAATTACAAATTTCTGTACCTTCTTTGAGCTTCAACAAGAACTTCATTCCCTGAGTAGGCTTCTAAAAGCTGAATATACAGTATGTCACACTTTAAGGCAGAAGAGATATCAAAGAGGGAGTAGCATGTAGGATTCTGGCTTGCTGGATCTGAAAGTTGCATCTGCCATCTAGTAGCCTTGTATATGTGGCCATCGGACTTATTCTTTCTGAGACTTGGTTTTTTTTATCTGCCAAAGGGGAATGATAATAACACTTCCATAGTATGGTTATTAATTAAATGCATGGATGTTCAAGGGCTGAGCATAGAGCTGGGTACAAAGCGAACTTTCAACCAATGTTACATGAAGTACACATATGATTCCATGCTGTACTGAGCAACAAGGTAATAAATCAACATCCTTTTCTATAGTGTTTCCCAGTCCTCTATCACTTCTCTACTTCTCTTATCTTTTTTTTTAAACATTCTACTTTCAGCACCCTCAAAGTATGATTATTTGTAAAGAAAGCACATACTGAGAGGTAGACACTTTTTCTTGACTACCATCTTTCTCTGCTTTTCTATCATAAGCATAAATTACAGCTATAGATACTCTAAACACTGCTCTCTCTCAATCAGTAAACAAAAAAGAAACAATGACACCCCCCCAAAAAAAGTATCTACTGAAGAGTAATACTGCAGAAATCTTTAGGCAGTCATGTTTCTCATGACCCTGTCACTAATCCTTAGAAATAGTAAAATTCTCAGATTACAGAGGGCTGTAGAAGTGAGCTTGATATTGGTTAAATCCTCCTCTCAGGACAAAGAAAGTTTATTGGGAAAAATATGAAAAGTTGTGTGTGGATATTAGGGAGGCTTCCCTGCCCTTGGTTCGTGTCCATTAACTAGGCTTGAGCTCTCAGTCCCACAGACTCAAATTCCCTCCTACAATTTCTGCAAAGCCCCAAGACTCAAAATTTGGTCAATTCATGAAAAAAATTCACTCCCCAAACCAGGCATGAGTTTAGCCAACTTGGAAGAAGGTTTTATGGTTCAGGGAGCTGTTCTGGCCTGCCACACCCTTCTTGATCTTTCGGCACCCCCCCCCACCTTTCCTTTTTCTTGCCTTTCTGTCCCAGTGGCACACAGACCTCTTTCCTTCTACTGTGTCATCCCTGTTTTTTGTAACATGAGTAGGCTCTTGTGTCCTACTTTCCACCAGGAGAGTGTTTTCTATGTTATTTCTTCCTTAGGAAAAAGAATAGTAAATATATATATATATATATATATATATATATATTTTTTTTTTAATGTATTTGTCAAGTAAATTGGAAAAGAACTCCTTTTTACAGCCAGTCTTATGCCAGAATGAAAAGACAAGACAGCAAGTATACTGGGAACCCTTTTACAGATTCTTCCAACATCATGTTACACTTCCAGTAATGCCCATGAAACACATTATGTAATGTCACAACCAGTGTGAATTCCTAAACAATTTGGATATGTTCATGTTCTTGTTTATGTGCATTTATTTTATAGGTGGCATTGAGAATGAATAAGAAAAACAAACAGAAAATGGTAGTCTCATTTATTGAATTTCAAGTGAATTGGTACCAAAATATATAGGAACTTTTTTAAAATTTGAAGATTTCTAGTAGAGATCTTTTTTTCTTTTCTTCATAAAAATTCATAATTTTAACAGAACCTTATTCTAGTTTTGCCTTATAGAGATCTTGTATGAATGTTGGGTAGTCAATATGCCATAAAACATGCCAGAATTTTAAAGTGTGAGGCTGGTTCTTCAGTTAGCTAGAAAGTCAGATGTTTTAGAAAAGTACACCAAAGAGCTAGGTGTCGACTTTGGATTATAGAATGTAATCCATTCCTTGGAGTGACAATTTAAAGTGTTATGACATTTGGAAAGGACACACTTTCTCCATTGGTATGGGTCTCACAACATATGTCTGCATGGCACTTACATTTGTAGAGAATAATTTAATATTTACCCATAATTGCAAATATGTTAACATTTTCCCTTACTGCTCTTCTTAGCCAATGAAAAGTAGTCCTTTTCTCAACCTGTCACTTAACCAGATGCTAATAGAAGGACATGCTTTACTACTGCACTTAGGTTAAATGAGACAAGCCCAACAGAAGTGGCACATGCCTGGTGTTTTACTGGTGTTTTGGTTAAGATCTGTTGATAGGAACAGAACTTGCTCATGTTGCCTAAAGTAGGAGAAGGTCTGTGGTGAATATTCATATGGAAGGCTATCTAAAGAAAACTGAATACTGACCTTCAAAAAAGGTGGAACATGAAAGGTGGTTGGGAATTCAAGGTAAGTCTAGGGATCTTCGGAGGAGACATTCTTACTTCTTCATTCTTATCCAACATTGAATGGGTATAGCCAGGGCTGCCAGTTATGTTCTTCCACATAAGCCATGAGAATGCTGTTTCCTGGTGCTCGCTTCAGCAGCACATGTACTTAAAAAAAAAAAAATGCTGTTCCCTGAGATATGTGGTACATACACTGCAAGGCCATGTTCTGTGACCCAGCCATAGTGACTGCTGTCTCTTAAACCATCCAATTTGCATTTTTCTCTACCTCTTATGCTTTCTCACGCCTCACTTTCCAGTTGGAAAATGACATTTCAAGCCTCTAATTCATGAGCTTGCAAGGCCATCTCCATTCTTGCTCTGTCTTTAATTCACTTACCTGGAAGAGAATCCCTTTAGCTCCCTTTTACCTTTTAGGTCAGGCTCTACCATGGATTCTTGATCAAGTAATGGTTGACTATCCTTGAATCAGGGCCCCACCCCAGTCCTGTCAGCTGTAACTGAGGTGGAAAAAGGGAGGCATTCTAGAGAAAAAGAGTATAAAACATAGTGGCTTAATTGCATTTCAAAAGAGGCCATGTGTAGGTTGGTTTCCCTAAAAGGCTGTACACAGAGTAGGAAATAAACTTGACATTTCTAGAAGTGTTGTTTCTTAATGGACAGTTGATTTAACCATTGCATGGTGGAGGCTTAACTGTCCTTGGGCCCTGATATAAGTTCTTTCCATGGCTGCAGCTGACCCCAAGGGAAGCTAGTCCCCTTTATTTTGATTCATAATCAATAACCTGGAAGCCAAATATTCTCTTTGAAAAGGTAGATGATATCATGGTGAGAATCTCAGGGGCTTTAGGATGCAGCCCAGCAGACAATGATGATAAAATAGGATGAAGCAGAAACTTGGCTGAGAGTTCCAAAGTGCAGCCTGTGCAACTGTAACTAGTTAGACACTTCACGTGGAAAAACAAAGAATTCAGTCTTGATTTAATCAGTGCTGTTGCCACTCAAAAGTTTTCTCTGTGCTGTAAGGTTGGAGAACCACTGAACAAGGAGGCAAAACAAAACTTGAAGACAAAAATTTCCTTAGAAACCCTTTTATCTGCCCTTGTTTAACCAAAGTCAAAAAGGCTACATGAATAATTATATCAGATTTAGAGGGTTTTTGGTTGCTTTTCTTGACAAATCTGGACTATAAGGTACTCAAAACTTACTCAGTACACAACATGAAATATAGTTAATCAGGTGTATCTTGGGGAAAAGGGGTCCTATATGGGGATTGCTCATTGTTTGACTGGAAGCAGTTTTCCTGATACATTTCTGATCTCATCTTTACTGTCTGCCCTCATCTGTGTGTTTCAGAATCACCACAACCGCAGCATGCATGATGGACTTGAGAAGATACCCCTTGGACGAGCAGAACTGCACGCTGGAAATTGAAAGCTGTGTGTATCTGTACTTCTTTTTCACTCACTGTTTTTCAGGCCTGGCTATTATTTGGCATCTTTTTCAAGGCATATGGCATTTTCTTGACATAGTTTTTAACCATCTTAAAGAGGGGAGGCTTAATCCACTCTGCAAATTACACTGTCATGAGAGAGACAGAGACAGAGATAGAAACCCAGCATAAAAGAGTTCCCCATTCTAATCTGATTAAGAGAGTATGCTTGCTGTGCTGAAATATAAGAAAACAAACACTCCTCATCTTGGTCCATTCAGTGAGAAGAGAACAAACACTGAGATGCAATTTTCTCACAATATGCTTCATCACACATGAGTGGCTGTACTCCTGGGAACCTGGGCAGTTGGAGTAAAACTCATTTCCCATCAGGAACTCAGCTTCACAAGCAGACTATTCCTGCATTTTGGCAATTTTCTCAATTTGAAGAGTATTCAGATGGTTTATTGATAATTCAGTGTTGAGTACTTCTTTGTGAGGGACGAGAGCTGCATCTTTATTACTTAACAAAAAAGTGTCCTGCCAGCTACCTGAACTACATCTCCTGGCGTATCCAGATGTTACTGTTTTTGTCGTCACTCACCTTAGTCTATCATAGATTGGCTTATAATTGGCCTAAATTGGATTTAGTCTTAACTTTATTTATATGGATTTCATTAAGGGGGATGGCGAATGACTGCAAATGTTACTCAATGCATTTGTGGTGAGAAGTGAGTGTCTTTGTGAGTAAACATACTGGGAAGTTGTGGTGGGTGTAAGCCAGTTTTCATCCCATATAGAGCTGGCTCCACAGAGCCCCTCACTTCCACACTACATCACTGTCAAATTTTCTGAGAACTGTGCTTTCAGAAAAGTGAGGGACATGGAATCATGTCAAGTGATGCATGGTGGAATCATCTGGGGAGATTTAGCATGTAGGACAGAAAGCTCAGGGGAAAGATGATGATTTCCCCATAGTGAAGGACTATCTTGAAAGTTAAATGGATTCTGTGTGGCCAGAAGGTAAAACTCCCAGTGAGGTGAAGAAAGTTTCTGGAAGGCAAATTTGGGACCTAAGTAAGGAAGCAGCTTCTACTACAAATGCATGAACACATAGTGTGTAGTCTCAGAGAATATAGATTCTGTTACTGTGACATTTGAACTGAGGGGGACGATGGGCAGAAAGGTCTGGTATCAAAGAGATTTCCTCAGAAAGTATGGGGCCATTGTCTTCAGAGAATCCATAGTTAAAGCCTTTGAGTGGAAGTAGGGATTTTCTGGTGAGCTGAGTACACACATATGCAAAAGGTTTTATTTAAGTGAAGATGGAAATACGGGGATGTGTGAGCCCCTACCCATGGGGGTGGGTAGGCAAGCCCTGAGCACAGTATGCTGGTTTGAGCCACAGCCAGAAGACCAGTGGGTACTGGGCTCAGTAAGTGAAGGAGAGAGAGTGGATGTATTCATGATACACAGAGAATACTATAGATTCTCAGCATCCTTGTAAGGAGTTTGAACTTTATTGGGAAACGTGAGGAGTTTAAGCAGAGGAGTGGCTTGATAAAATGTGTGTGTTATGAACAATTGCCATGGCTGCCAGATGAGAATGGAATGTAAGAAAGTCAGAAGGAAGGGAGGAGACAGAAGCTGGAACCACCATGATCCAGGGAGAGAGTATAACAGATGGGACAAGGGAGACGACATTTACCATGGGAGACAGTCATCTCCAGAGCTTTGGTCTGTTTGTCAGATATGGAGTGTCTGCCTTGCATTGTATTACACATTCAAATAACCAAAAAGTCCCTTATACTAATAGGGTATTTTTCTCTAGGTGTAAGTTTTAATCAGCCTTACTGACAAAGTTGACCTAATCCTTTAGAAGACTCTAGGTGCTACAAGAAATACCAGATTTTATTGTTCTATTTCCTCATTCTGAAGAAGCATTGATTGATTGATTACCAAGTGAGTAATCAAGCCCATGCTAAGAGCTGGGCTTGGAGCTATAATCCAGCTAGTAAACACTCCTCTCTTTAAGGCCAAGAGTATCCCAGCAAAAGACATTTCTAATGATGGCAAACCTCATAGCCAAGAACACCTGATGAAGCCACCCAAAAATGCTGAGGAGAACACTATTTTGCCCTGAGAGTTTCTGATGTTATCAGAAACTTTGTTATCAGACATTGATTGGTTAAATCCACCCTTAGTGTTTTAACTTTTCTGTAGCTTTTCAGAGTTGCCTTTCTAGAATTCTTTATATTTTATTTTTCGTTTTTTTTTTCTTACAACCATCTTTTCCAGTGGTGTTAATATATATTTTAAATTCATTTCAGTGCAACCACCTAGTTCTCTGTGATTAGGATTTGCAAACAAAACTCTGGTCAGAGCATTCACCCTCCCCAGTTCCTCTACTTTTCAGCACCAGGGTGGTGCAAATCAGACAGCACAAGTAACCAAAGATATTCAAAAGTTAGTTCTCTGATGACACTTTTTCTTATGGACAAGCACATGAAACAAATCTACTTCAAATATGAGCAAGCTGATTTTCCATTATTAGTTAGTTTCTTCAGCCTTGCATGTAAACAAAATAATGATTCTTCATTTCTGCCATGTCCCTGTTTTCTCTCCTGGCAGATGGCTATACCACAGATGACATTGAATTTTACTGGCGTGGTGGCGATAAGGCTGTCACTGGAGTGGAGAGGATTGAGCTCCCACAGTTCTCTATTGTGGAGCATCGTCTGGTCTCAAGGAATGTTGTCTTTGCCACAGGTGAGTCTTGTGTCCCCTCTCTGGCTGATTAAGCAGTGATGGTTTCCTAATGAAACTGTACAACTGAATCACAACCTTGAGTCACCCAAAGATGTACCGCCATCGATAATTGATCATCTTAGCTACTCCTTTTTTTCTGTATCTAAAGGGATTGATAAGCTTTGATGGAAAGGAAAGATCACCTGACAAGGAGAGGTACTGAAGGGCCGGCTATTGAGAAGTTAAAAATCTAAGGGTAAATTTAACCAACCCATGTTTGGTAAAATGAGAAACTCTCATCTCTGGGCAGATAGAAGGCCATTGATGGCCTTGGAGGCAAACAAGAAGGAAGGAGGAAAGGAAAGAAAAAAGGAAGAGAGGAAGGGAGGGAAGAAGAAGGAGGAGGAGGAAGGTCTGAGGAAGTGGTGCTATTCCCCTCCCAGAAGTAAGAGACTTTCTCCTCACTTCTGGGGTAACAGTCAGCTTTGGTGGTCCAAGAAGTTGCCACACCCTCAGTTAGTGATGCCTATTGAAACAAGATCATCCTCTCCTAATACTATCTGCCCTGGCCTTGGTTCCATTGTCATTTTCATTTCAACCATCTAAAGACTGAGAAGGTATGTTCTGCTCTCCTGTCTATCCTTCTGAGGCTTTATTAAATTACAATTATTCACATTTTAATTTGCGCAATACTTTCTTGCTATCTTTGCATTCCTGCTGAGTGCCATATACTATGATTGAGACAATAAATAAAAGTGCTTTGTAAATTGTCAAGTATTATAAAGACCACAAACCCTGGGTTGAAAATGCTAAATAGAGGCAGAGCTGGAACCTCCCGTCTTGGCTTTTTCCTGTTGATATAGGTTGAACATGACAAGTAGGTCGCAGTTAGCTTTAGTCCCGTGAGGGCATTCATGAAGCTCGAGGAAGGTCTGTTCTCTCTACCTGTTGCCTCTGACTGGAATGCCTGTGACCCACAGTCACCTGCTTCCCCTTCACCTGGTCACCTCCAACTCATTCTTTAGCTTAATCTCGATGTCATTTCCTCTGGGAAGGCTTTTTGATCCTGGCCTACACATCTACACTGCTAACCCAGGTTCAGTTAAGTGGCTACTCTGCATTCCCATGGACTGCACTGACCTTTTTCTAGCTCTGCTGTGCCTCTCTTCAAAAGTACGTCTCCATTAGGAGGGATCTGTCCTGGTAATGGTTTACCCCCAACTCCTTCCCTACCTTGTGTAATGCCTCAATATCCTAGGCATGCTGCAAAAGTCCCTGCATAAATGAACGATGATTCAAGTGTCGACTTTCCTCCTCTCCACCCCAGCCTCTAAGAACCACTGGGACATGCCAAGTATAGACAAAAGCCTGAATGTTTAAGACACCAGTCAGGTCCATTTTGATGCAAGCCACTTAATCCTTTGTTGCAAGAGGTGCTACAAATATCCCTGTAAATCTCTAGAGGCACTCATCTTGATGAAAAGTAAGATCCAGCAAGTACATGGGCTTACGATTTCTTGGTTTCTACAACCAAGAAACTTACCCTGTGATGAACTGGATAAAATGATTTTTCTGCTTTTAGCATCAGGATTCAAACTCCCATGCTCCAAGTGATATGAGCAAAAGGTCTGCTCCAAACACAAGGGTAGTTTTCTCTTGGTGGAATTAAATGCCGGTGCCTGCCTTGGTCTTGAAAATTGCTGTTGTGGCCCTTAGTATGCAGCCATGAGGATCTCTTAACTGCATTTTCATGCAACCTCATCAGAAAGCTGGATGAGGTGTGTGTGGAGGACGCAGTGTTTCCGTAGGAAATTGCAACCAGTTAGAATGGCCTTCCTGAATCCTCTACCACAGAACCACTCAGGGGCAACTCTTTTATAAGTGCAGTCTTTGTCTGCATAAATACTTCTTTGAAGTATTTATATGGTAGAAAATATCTCAAACATATCTGGAAAAATAGATACTACAGGTGTGGGGGATAATATATAAACTATGCATAGAGCCATCAGCCCATCAGAATGTAGTGCAATGTCTTCTTCCTAGCACCTACCAAGTTCTGGCAAGGTATAAGCCAAGAGTTCCACATCAGTCAGCTACAAACTCCTAACCTTCAAAGAGGTTTATATCGTATGTCAACTACACTTCAATAATAACTTTATTAAAAAAGGTTGCAGTTTAAGTTATTCTAATTGACCTGTTCATGAAAATTGGCACAAGCCACATTGCTTAAAATTTATTTTAAAATTAAATTTTACACTAACTTTTTTTTCCCCTTTCCATAAATGTTCTGAATTAATGAGATTTTGATCAGTCAACTGGATTAAAGAATTCTGTACCCTGATAGAATTCTCAAGAAAGGGAACAAATGCTCTGGAGGTTTATTTGGACCAGGCAGAGTCCATGATGAGGATTTAATGTGATTGTTTCCACCTGTCCTTCAGCCTGTTGGTAAACACAGGGCAGCCAGACGAGTCTGCAGGACAATGTGTGGAGGCAAGCCTGGTTTCAGGAACCTAGTAAGGCATATGGAGTGCAAAATTTCAGGAGATGTTCATTCTCAGTATCATGGAAGTGAAATTTTGTGCTTTACCTCTTTGCCCTTGTCCTGTCCATTTGGGGACCTTGTAGAGAACCTCCTGCTAGTCCATCCCCAGAGTAACATGGGGTTGCAGGCTACAGGGAAGAGAACACATATAAAACCAAGTTATGAATATTCACTCAGCAATTGGCATGATCTAGGAGTGGGGCTGGGTCCAGCATCAAGGAGAGAAACAAGGAGAGTCTGGTCCCCTGGGATTTCTCATTGGACCTCCATGTTTCAGTGATGTTCCCCCCGATGATGTCACATAGTCTATTATGTAGAGGAGCTTTTAGTGGGAATCGAGCCATAGTAACAGAACTCAATGAAATATGTTCAAGAGATGATACGTACAGAGTTTAAAAACAGACACTGGAGCCAGACTGTTGGAACCTAAGTCCTACCTGAAACTTTCAAGCAGTGTGACCCAGGGCAAATAGAGATATTAGTAATAACTATTTGGAGCCGCCTAAGTGACTCAGTTGGTTAAGCGACTGCCTTCAGCTCAGGTCATGATCCTGGAGTCTTGGGATCGAGTTCTGAGTAGGGTTCCCTACTCAGAGGGGAGTCTGCTTCTCCCTTTGACCCTCCCCCTTTTTATGCTTTCTCTCTCTCTCTCTCAAATAAATAAATAAAATCTTTAATAATAATAATAATAGTAATAATAATATCTATTTGGTTAGGTTTTGAGAGGATTACATGGCTTGTATAAACAAGAAGCCTAGAATAGTATCTACATTAAGCCCTGATTAGGTCTCATTAACTAAGATATGTGGGATCAGGAATGAGGCATATTCTGAGGGGTCTGATAATATACACTCTAGCAGCTGACCAAATCTTTGTATATTAGAAAATTTATAGCATTGTTCTCCTGGACTATTGGGCTCCTAATGGCTTATTGGAGGGCTTTAAGAGTGCGTGTTGTCTTGGATTCATATTTGTATCCTCATCCCAAGCCCAGTCAGCAGTTTGAAAACTGAATGGTTATTGAATTGAGGAGAGAAAATCGGACCATCATTTCTGAGTATGTACTGAATTGTAATCAAATGAGTAATTTCTCTAAGAGATACTATAAAAAATTAATGATATTATATATTCAATTATATATTTTTTAATTGTACCTGGGAGGAAATTGAGTACACCTTTGCCTAGAAAGAGGGAGCTGTATTCCATAAGTGTGTTTTAAAGACAACAAAGAAATGACTGAGATCATATTGACAAGTAATTATTCAGTTCCTACCAGGATTCAACAAATGGTTTTTGGGAAAATCAACCCCTTTATGAAGCAAGACCGCATTACTCTAGCTTCTAACCACAGCGGCATGCTATATTAAAATTTATAGCACCTTGTTTTAAACATTTTTCACTAATGTCCACTGGAGACCAGTAGTGGGCAAATAAATTAGCCCAAGTTAAAGTTTAGGAAAACAGAAGCCCAATAATAATAATAATTTGACCAAATTTACATGGTAAAGCTAGAAAGGATAGTGATTAATTCCCAAGTTTCCCAAGAAATGGGAACCTATAATACATTTTTTTACGAAGATTTTAAAAGCTAGTCTTTTTATGCTTTATTTTAAATGATCATTTTCTACGCTTTTACAAATTAATACTATAAGTGTTGTTACAAAACAGGTGATAACAAATAATGTCCACAGTGCCCACCTTTAGAATCTGTGCCATCTCTCTTTGACATGCCTATGCTAACGGGCCATGTGTTCCTGATGAACAGTGTTTTATGCAGGTCTCTAAAAACTGATATTGGGGGGCACCTGGGTGGCTCAATCATTAAGCATCTGCCTTTGGCTCAAGTCATATCCCTAGAATGCTGGGATAGAGGCCCATGTTGGGCTTCCTGCTCAGCGGGAAGCCTGCTTCTCCCTTTCCAACTCACTCTGCATGTATTTCCTCTCTCACTGTCTCCCTCCCTCTCTCTGTCAAATAAATAAATAAAATCATTTAAAAAAATGAAAATAAAAAAAATAAAAACTGATGTTGGGATTGGAGGCTTCCAAATTCCTAATCCAAGGCCCTAAAATTGTTTTGTCTAACACCCAGAAATCTTTGGTGACAAGAAACGTGCCTCTGCCTTCCTGTTCACGGGCACTTTGCTGCTAGATTCATGGCTGAGCAATACTGTTTGCATGAAGCCATTACCCAGATCCAAACACTTTGATGCCTGGCTCTTGCCTGCAGCATGGGATTCAGGCTCCTTCACCTTGAAAATAAATTATTCTTATTAGGCTTATCTTATGTCATTCATTATTTCAATCTACTGGATTTCTTGGGAAGTCCTGGAACCGTAATAAATATTCCTTCTTGATCCAGAGTTTTATTTAATTTTTTTGTTAAAGTCTAGTTGACACACATTGTCACGTTAATGTCAGATGTACAACATAATGACTTGACAACTCACTGTACATTATTCTATGCTCACCACAAA